TGTCTAATAATGATGATGATAAATACACCTGACCAGATACGGCGAAATATATCAGGCAATAAATTGTATATAAATATTTTATGTATTCATACACAACCTTCCTTATTTCACAGAATGAAAACATTGTTTATAATAGAATATAAGTTATCCGTTAATGATAAAAGCACTATAGTGACTACAAATAACACTGAAACAAATGATGGAATGGAACAGTAATCGTACACCGTAGATTCTGTCGCAGCATAAAGTAGTCGGTAAATCATGACAGTTGAAAAATATCGTATGAAATGCTACCTCATCAAGTTTTTTTTAAAATGCCTTTTATCATTTCACCGGCCCGGCTCTCTAGCGCAGTTGGCTAAACCGGATTGTGCGGAGACAGGGTGACGAACTCCTTGTGGTCTGGGTTTGATCCCGGGGGTAGGCAGGAAAGCCACATTTCTCCCAGATTTACGGTATTTACAATGGAATCAAGGCCAAAAGGTTGCGATATCCATAATACCGAGCCTAAGGGTTAACAACTCATGGTTTCTGGATACTAAAACAAACAAACATCATTTCACCGACTTCGGACTAAAACAAAAAATGGGGGAGCATCATATTTTTCGTAACATACTAACGTCAGTCTTCGCCCATATACACACTAGCTTACTTCTGATTGATAGTTTCTAAGCCCCGTAACCTTCGCACAAGGTCAGAGGGGTATTCCGCGATGCTGTTGATATCGCGTCTAGTATATTTCAGCCCACCAGCGCATTCAACACTCCAAAAACATGGAGAAACTGACCCTAACACAACACCCATAGAGAGTGCTGCAACTTATGTCACAGGCATTCTCTTTTTCGGAATGAAAACGTAAATGCAAGACAACACAGCAAACAACAGAGCGGGACACACCTGTAACATTCAGAAAAGTCGACCAGCCTAACAAACTTGTGAATGAAAAGTGACCTACTCTGTTTGGGGAGATGTACGTGAACCTAACCGGTTCTTCTTCTTCCTCCTTGTAATGTTGGTATTTTCCCACGGGGATTCTCTAAGCAATAATCTGGGAGTAAACATCTGAATAGGACCGAACTACACGAGAACGTGAATACTCGTAGAAACACGAGATCTTCAGACTAGGACGTGAAACCTAGAACGAGGGTTATAAGGTTAGACAAGGTCTAATCAATTAGTATGTGTTTGGCAGCTGTGACGTGAACGGGTGCATCTGAAGGACGCATGTATGTGATAGTGTATATTTTACGACGTGAGGGGTTCTGTTCTGAGAGAACACAACAAGATGACGGCCTGATGACAGTCTAATCCGAAGTGGCATCCAACCAGTTCCAATCGGTCAAGAAGCCGAACCACCATGGTCAGAACTGCCGGATCAACCATTGTGTGTATTCTGTATGTGAGGAAACAGGACTGAAAGGTAACGAATGTGAACGAGAGAAGTCGTAAAGTTGATGTCTGATAAATGTCATCCTATGTTGCAGGACCTGCTAGTTATTAGTGGCATTGACTGGACCAGATCACCTGTGAAAGTGTAATAAAGAATATTAACTGGATATCGTCTACTCGTTACCAGCTGTGTGCATTCAGAGTGTCATCTATGTCTTTCGTATAAACAAACCTCTAGCAACCAGACAGCACACCAAGGTGACACAATCCACTTCTTCTTGGTACTGGCTAGGCCCCGCTGAGGTGCTGGTACAACCTCGTTTTATTCTTCGTCTTGACATCCTCTTTCACCGCTTCGGGTGTCGAGGGAGATATAAGGTCCTGCTTCGTGCTCTTCTGGCTGCTTCGACCATAGACACATCGTGGTACTGTAGAGTTTCTCTGATGTTATCTTCCCATCTTGTTCTTGGTCTACCTCTCGCTCTACGCCCTTCTCCCCTTTTCGTATAATGAACAGGCGGACAGACTGACTGGCTCTGCACAACTTGGTGGAACACTGATACATGATAAGGCAGACGTGGTTAGTGCCTTGTGGGAGAGCGTGTACAATTCGGAGGAGCAGATATATCATCACAGTCTGGTGAGATTGATGCAGTTGGGGTGACAAGAGGTTCTGGCAGAAGCTCGAGGCTCAGAGGAAAGGCAAGACGGATGTTTAATCAGAAAGCTACTGGCACCATTAGTATCGGAACTCTTCGCTGGCTGCTGCAGATAGGGACGGAGCGCTTATGGGAATGCCCCGAGTGCTGTGATGTCGGTTCTTGAATCAAATCAATCAATCAAATCAAACCTCTTTTTGTATATGCCTTGTATGGGATAGCATCAGAAAACATACTCTCCAAGCGAGCAAACCATTAGATTAGCTGTCTTTGTATGTAATTTTAAATGGTTCAGTGCCGACTTGATCTCGTATGGCCTCACTCCTGATTGTTTCTCTTCTGGTCACTTCTACAGTCTTTCTCAGACACCTCATTTCCATGGTTTCTTAGTTTTTTTTTTTTTTAAATGTTTTGTTGTGAGTGTCCATGTCTAGCACTGGTAGCATAGGGTGGGACTGAATATGCTTTGTATGAGATGTTTCTTTGTGCTGATTAAGACTGCTTCACCTCGTTTTATTAAGGTGACAATTTGGTATGTCTCCCAAACTAACTTAAAAATATTCTCTAGGAGGAAACAAAAATGTTATTTAAGGGACTGAGGCCACCGCTGCCTCGTCACCCCCCTCTCTGGTAAAGGGGAGGGGAGGGGGGGAGGGGGTTAAGGATTCCCCATAGCCATGTTCTAATTTTCAGTATTTGTATATACATTTCAAAATTCAAATAGATTTAGTTTGCATTATTAGTCGTTCAACAAACCGTTTTTCTCTTCTGCTTCTTTTGTCATCTCACTGATACCAGGTTGTAGCCCATTGTCGTGGTTTATTAAATAATACTACTACTACTAATAATAATTGCACTCCTAAACAAGGCTTAAGTCCCGTGATCCACCAGTCCTCTACAAAATTAGAATTTTACAAGAGATGATTGATTTCTTCATGGCGATGCGCCTGTGTTGAGGTATCTGAGCTTGTTTCTAAAGTGAATGGAGCGTTAGCCTGGTAGTCTGGTAGTCCTAGTTTCAGCTTCATAGCAAACGGGTCACCCCATCTTTGCTCCGCTCCTGTGCCAACGAAAAACACACAGAATGTTTATCACAGCATTAGAATTGCAGTTCATCACTGATGGTAGCAGAAGTCGCCAACAGATCAGCAGTTAGCGTGGCTATCAAGACTGTCCATTAGCTGTTTGTTTAGGATCTCTGCAGCTTCCAAATAATCGTTTACTATCGTCCAACTGTCCGTGATTCACTTCCATATATCAGGCGAGCGAAAGGCCAGCACTTATCACTTGTGGTCAAGGAAACATTAGAGTGCTGGGAGGCAAAAGGGGATAGGGAGACGGGCGCAGACGGGCGCACTCAAAGGGACTTAGCCTTCTAAGTCAGTAAGTACATAAATAATGTATAATGGCATCCGTTAGTCCCGGGGGAATATGGAGATGTGCCGCTGGCTTTGACTGTAAAGTCCGATGCGGGAATGGCAGCCTTTGCCACACAGGATACACACAAAAGCAGATACTCTCTAAGTACATAAATAATAATAACAGATTCAGCTCTTTTCCCTAGGGGAAAAAAATGCCAGTAGTTACCACAATGTGACTATAAAAAAGTGAAGGTACTCGTCATAGTGTGTCTATCCCCGTAGCGCTGACATCAAAATGATGTCTACAATGGAGCGGGTTGCTTCGCGGTGGTGTAAAAAGGACTGACTTGGTACTCGCACAGACGAACAGTGCAACAGCTAGCGGACAGCCAACTAAAAACAGGAACCAGGACTCATGAAACCAGAACTTAGGCAACAAATGAACAAACTCAGGTGTAATTGCTCACCATAAAGGGAATCAACTATAATAAGATAGCAAAGGAACCGTCCTTGATAAAGCAGGCCATCAGGCGGCTAAAAACGGACTAAGCTTGGAATTTTTGTTTGATTTTATACGATACGATACGATACGGAGCGGGTAATGCATACCATTAGCAAAAAAGGCCCAATTATTAATATTAATAATAATAATAATAATAATAGTAATTTGCTGACAGGCGAATGTGAAATGTATAAACAAGTACTCAAATAGATAATTTTTAAACACGATTAAGGGTAACCCATATACACTTATAAGGGGGTTCTGTTCATGTTTTCCGGCCCATTTACACTACCTGACCTTTCATTCATACTTTCTCATACTTTTCTACGTCAGATGGTTGTCACGTTCTCTTCCCTCCAATTACATCAGGGTGTTCTATACTACACGACGACACAGCTTTCAACGACCCCAGAACACGTAAAACTCACCCTAACCCAAACCCTCCTACCTACAGCCTGAGCCTAGGTCACATGAGAGACTCTTTTGGAAGAAAGCAGTACAACGTGACACCCCTCTGACCTAGAGCAGACTGAGAAAATGTGTGGATGGGCCCGGAAACGTGAACAGGTCCTATAAGGGAATTAGGGAGGGTGAAGACAACCCCTCCCCCTTCTAACTCCCACCCCCCTCCCGGCTCACCACAACAATTATGGGAGTGGGGCTCAGAATGGCGGACTGCCAGTTTCCATTCCTGTGACGGTCCATCAGTGCCTGACAAGAGACCGAAAACATACCATACAATGCATTGGGCAGTTCACTGACTGTGCCCTCTGTGTTTACATCTGTTTTGTCAACAAACATTTACGTCTGAAATTTCTCCTCTCTCCTCCCTGTCCTCTTTCTTCTTTGGAGACAGTAGGTCTATCCCCCCCCCCCAATCCCCCAGTGGGGCCCCGGAACCCACGCAGGAAGAATGAACGATGAGAGTTGAATACAAAAAAAAAAAAAAAACTACTGTTAATAGAC